CGCCCCTGCCTGCATCTCACCGACAGGCAGACGGATCCCTTTTCCCATTGCCGAGTCGCCGTCGGGCGTATCTTTGGTTATCGCTCGGCGATTTGAAAGCCAACGATATGTTTTGTGTTGATGTAGTTGTGTTTCATTTGGCCTTTGTAGGCGATGGGGAGCCAAGAGCATTAATTTGGATGACGGATCATATAAACTCTGACTCCTTCACTCCCATTCCAGGGGCTTGATAAACGGTAATAGGAACTCTCTCTTCCCCGCGTAAGTGCTATTTTATCAAGAGCTGGCTGAGTTATAGCCACCCGCTAATGTGGGGGCAATTAGGAACTGGCTGCATTTCACAGGCTGGAGAGGCACACAGGGGAGGGGACGGCTCCCGCGGGAAGGGGAGGAGGACAGGGCTCTCCAAGAGCCATCCAGGGTACATGTAGCCTTGGCTGACAGTGCCTTGGCATCAGAGAGCATCCTCAGCCGGGACATCCCAGTGCCGTTCGCTGCCACATGAGCAGAGCTGAGCTGAAGGGGAGAAAATCAGAGAGCGTGGACGTGCCAGGGACTCTCCGTTGTGCTGGAGGATGTGCCTGTGTTCCCCTGTGCTGGTGGAACAAAGGGAGCCTCTCTGGGATCCAGCATGGAAAGAGAAGCAGCTCCAGCAGAGGTCTGGCCTCTCCAGGCTGCAGAGGTGTGAGTGCCTGGACACCTCTGCCTGGTGATAATGGATTTCTTCTCTCACTGAAGGGGACAAGAATAATCTCCCAGCTTCTGAGTACACTGAGCATTAATAATGATAATGCAGTAAAGCCTCATTAAATTGGGCCTCTGATAATCTACTTGCCCTGTTATTAGGCTTAGCAGGATTCAGGCATCTATTTTTATCAAAAATTGATGGTTAAAGGCTGGGTTCATTTGTGATTGTTATTGTTTACTGCCCGGTTTCTAATTTCTGGTCAATGTGGACATAATGCAGGTGGGTCTGGGGAAGAAGGGCAGTGCAAAATTAAGTGTTTATGGATTATAAACAAATCCTTCCAAACCGACCTGTAATGCATCCAGAAAAGGCTCTTTCATCTGTCTGCTGAGCAAAGCAGACAGATGCAGTTGGGATGGAGCTGGTGCAGATGAAGCCCCTCTTTGACCCAGCACCCTGCAGAGCACGGCAGGGTCTGGGCATCCCCAGCCTGGCTCCTCTGCCATTAGGCACTTCTTGGCCTCTGATCAACCTTTTTGCAGCCAGAGTGAACCCAGCCTGGCATCCAGTATATCCTCAGCCAGATAATTTCAGGAAGCTTTCCTACCTCCAGCCTGGTGCCTTGCAGAGGACCAGCAAGCCACCTCACAGAGGTTGTCCCGCAGAGCCCATCTCAATCTTCATTTGCCTTTGCCAGTCTCGTACAGTGTGGTTGTCCCAGGTGTTCAGAGAACATCTGGCCCCTTCAGGCACCGCACGTTACTCCCGTGCTGTCCAACAGGCTGATGCCATTATTTCTGGCCGCTTCCTGCAGCCTGTGGATGGTTTGCAGCCCTCCTTTAATAGGGGCTGAGCTTTCACCTTGCGATGTGATGTGAGGATGAGTTTGTTCCCGGTGTGCTTGCACGTGGTGCTCCCTGGCAGTGGCTTGGGGGTCCCTGGGTGTTCCATGCTTGTCTGCCCACCAGAGATTGTGCTGTCACCAGCGAGCCAGCACCTGCTGGATGTCCACCACATGCCAGGGATGTCAACTTTGATGCCTCTTGGCTTTAATCTCAGCAGAGGGTTTGGCAGGATCATCGTTAATCCCCCCAGCCCTGCCATGGTGCCTGATGCTGAGCTGTGGGTACAGGTGGGATCTGCCCAGGAGAAATTCTCACATGGCTGAGCCCTGGTGAGGAGCTGGACACTGTCCTTGTCCCAGTGACCAGCTGCACATCAAATGCCATCTCTCCTGGGTGGGGTGGGATGTCCATGGAGGTCCCAGCCAGCAGTGACCACCAGCAGAGTCACCAGCACAGACATCTGTCATCCCCACTGCACTTTAAGCTGCTGAGTGAAATAAGTGCTGTCGAACAGGGGCAGTGACACTGAGGCTTTTTCTTTTGAATGTGGTTGGGGAATCAGCCCTCATCTCATGGCCAGGTTGGACTGAACTGAAGCCACTTCCCAGGCCAGGAGCTGTCTCTGGCTTCCCTGCCCGTCTCCGCAGGGAGCCCTCAGCAAGCTGATCGCTTTCTGTTTCCCTTGCAGAAAAGTCCGGGCATTTCTCAGCCATCGTGGAGGCTCAGAAGCTGAGCGCAGAGCCGACAGCCGCCTCGTGCTGGCCTCCTGTCCTGTCCTACTCCCGAGATGTGATAAAAACCTCTCCCCAGGCGGAGCCCCACTTGTTCCAGTATAACCCACCAGGCAAGTACAAGCACCGGCTGTGCAGTGTGTGCCCTCTGCCCTGAGCTGGGGCTGAGCACAGGGGCTGTGGTTGCAGCCAGTATCATGGGTCGTGCTCTTAAATCAGTGCAGGGTTTTCAGTAGGCAAGAGAGGGTTCCACAGACACCTGCTAACAACTTGCTTTGGCTTGGCAGGGAGCTCCCTCACTGCTAATCCAGTGGTCTGAGGGAAGTCAGGGGGGTCTCCCAGCTCTGGCAGGAGCAGGTTTAGGGACACAGTTTGCTGCAGAAGTGTGGATGCTCCTTGCCCTGCCCTCGGTGTGAAGTCAGGCTCCATCCCTCACTGCGTGTCCCTCTCTGGCTGGAGGGCAGGCAAGGCAGGTGCAGAACATCCTCAGGCTGCAGGGAGGATGAGGAGCTGATTTAAATTATTCTGGTCTTTTCCAAAATGATTGTGTGACTTGGATCCTAGTGCAGCGACACAGCCAGTTCATCCAGCCCCTGCTCCCTCCCTTGGCCTTTTTCTCTCCCTTCCCTTCATCTTGCTAACGCTCGTGTTTTCCACACAGGACACCCCATCCCGCTAAACCTGCATGAGAGCTCTCGCTCAGGGCTGCAGAGGCTAGCTGGCATCTCCAACCCTCCTCCCCTCATCTCCTCCACCAAGCACCCCTCTGTGCTGGAGAGACCCATCGGATCCATTTCCCAGGTACAGTATCAGGTGGGAGCAGCCGGGGAAGCCTCGCAGGGACCAGCAGCCGCTCCCTGACCTCTCCTGTCACTCCACAGGGCGTGCCCATCCAGCTCCACACACCCTACAGCTCCGAGCATGCCAAGGTCCCCGTTGGCTCCATCACCATGGGCCTGCCACTGACCATGGATCCCAAGAAACTGGGTAAGGAATTGGGAGGTGAGTGATTTCTGATGTGCTCTGAGAGCAGCAGGGAGCGAGCTTGCTGGTGGCATAGGGGAAAGGAGCATCATAGGACACAGCAAGGGAGTGCAGAGAGACCTGCTAAAAGGATGAAAGGATTAGTCTGTCAGGATAGCAGAGGCACAGGGAGCTGAATTTGTGCAGCATAGGAAAGTAGCAACTCGGTCAGGGACACATCCCAGCCTAGAAATACCCTCTGGCTAATACTGTGATTGAAGGAAGGAAATATATTGCCGGTCCCCAGGCTGGTAGGATAAAGAGTAAATGACCTGAAGTGAACAAAGAAAGTGTTTAGTCTGCAGATTTGGAAGCATTTCTTAACAGCAGGAGGGGATGGGCAAGGGACCAAGTCTGGGGGGGAAGGGATACGGATTCTGTGTGGGGTTTCCAGTGCCAGCTCCAGTCCTGGTGCGGGCAGCTCCTGGCAGTGCCTTTGCCAGGGCAGAGGATCTGGCTTTGCTCGCTGATGGTTGTGCATTCAACCAACCACCGCAGCCTTGGTGAAGCCCACCCCAAAGCGGTGCGGACAGCAAAGGCACCGAGGAGGTGCCGGCTCGGGGCTGGCAAAGTTGAAATCCTCGAGCAGCTGAGGGCTGCAGCCCCGTGCCCTGCACCTATGCTGATACATGCCTCATGTTTTCCAGTGCCTTTTCCTGGAGTAAAGCAGGAACAACTTTCTCCTCGAAGCCAGGCCAGCCAGCCAGAAAGTCTGGTTCTGCAGCCGCCCCAGGAGGGCTCCATCCTGCGGGGTGAGGAGCTGGGGGTGCTTGGTGCATGCCTAGGCTGTGGGAGGGGAGGGATGCTGGCACTGCCAAGCCTGGCGAGCACCACGCTGGCTGAGGCTGCCCGGTGATTTGGGGTTTGATTTCTGGGGTTGTGCCCAGCTGAAGGAATCTCTTCATCTCCTTTTCTCTGGTGGTGCCAGCGGGGTGGCAGATGGCTCTGTGCAATGTCTCAACATTTCTAGCTGTCTCCTCGAATCAGGGCTTTGTGTGTTGATTCTGATGGAGGTTTTGTGTTCAAGGGGGACCCTAAAATCTGTTGGTTAAGACAAAGCGAGACCTGTTTAAATGCCATGAATTGGTTTTCAGGCTCTTTGCTATTGCTGCTGCAGCTGGGCAGGTGCCACGTTTTGTTTAAACGCCCAGCCTGCCAGCCCTCCCATGTTTCTTTCTCCATTAGCTAATGGCAGAAGAAAATAAATGCAAAGGTGTTGCTTTTGAAGTGCAAACTGTGGCTTGTGAAACCCTCCAACTCAGGCAGTTGGATACAGGGAGTGTGGTGGACTCGCTCCACCCAACACAGATAACACACGAATGAACTCAAACCACCCCAGGCTGCATCTCACTGGAGATCTGCTCTGATGCATCAGGAGAGGATGAGACAGGCTGTGCTTTCTCCCAGGCCTGTGAATCTGCCCAGCCCCTCCACGAAGGCAGCAGGGCAATGACAGCCTCAAAACCCCCATTTTTTCCAGCTCCTGGCCCCACACTCGCAGGGCTGGGTCCCTCAGGGGATGGGGTGGGAAATGCTCTGCAAGGTTTGGGATTTAACACTGACATCTCTTGGAGGGCTTCCCCTCCAGTACCTCAGCTTGCTAGAGACTGGGTCAAATCCTGTGCTTAGTAGTCTCAGCCCCACAGCTTTTGTGGTGAACAGCAAATCCAGCCCCCAGCTCACTGGCTTTGTGTCCTACAGGTACTTCCCTCAGCTCTGCCTCAGGAGGGAGCATCACCAAGGGAACACCCACCTCCAGACCCCCTCCGGAGTCACCCATCACCTACCGAGGATCCATCACACACGTAGGTCACTCGTTTCTGGCAGGTTTTGCTTCCTGGGTGCTGGCAGCTGCAGCTTGTGGTGCTGGATACAGGGGCTTGGGGTTTGTGGGGCATGCTGAGCACACAGCACAGGGCTGAGCAGCACAGGACTGTGATGCTCCAACCCATGGAGCCTTGGGGAGAGGTCTGTGGCTGGAGCCTGTGCAAACAGCCTCCGCCGGGGTTGGCGTGAGCCCTGTCCCGTGAGCTGAGCCTGCAGAAGAGCAGAGCTCAGCAAAGAGCACTGCAGAGCCTTAGAGCACAGCTAAAACCCCTTTGCTTTCCATAGCTGTCAGGAACAGAGGCAAAAGCAGCTTTAAATGGCTCTGGGAGAATAATCTTGCCAGTGCAGGAAAGTGGAGCAGAGAGAAGGAGGAGACGGGTGGAGAGTGTCCGGGCAGAGGAGGGAGAGGGGCTGCGAGGTGCATGGAAGGTAGCGAGGTCTCCTGCCAGGGCTGAGCATGCTGCACTGAGGGTCCTGCCCAAAGGCTCTCTTGAGCAGGAAGGTACTTTGGCCTTAATCTCCACCATCCATCTTCGGAAG